GGAGTTTTGTGTTAGAGAGTGAAGTACTACAGAAGGAGAGATGTAATGCTGCTGAAAAGTAATAATCTTCCATGTCTTCAACATGGACACTGATAATGGTGATAGGGAACGGACCCACATTCACTGCCAGTTAACTAAGCAGAAAATCTGGATGCCCAGGAGACTAGCAGATTAGAAGGCTTCCCTGGTTTCTACTGGTACCAGGTCAAGTGGCTCTCTGACATAGCTGCTAAACCGACACTGCCTGGATTTACAGCTGACATAAACACTCTCTCCTGCTGACACTGTCATAGAGGATGGAGACTGGATCATACGATGTCCCCACAGGCTCCTATACCTGGAAAAAGTTCCATATCATACAAATATACACATTAAGATACATAATTACACAACAATGATATTTAAAATATATTTTCTACTCTGAGTGTGAAAGTACACAACTTTACTCATAGACATGGGATGCAGAGACATGAGGATCATAGTAAGTTTGAGGCCAGCCTAATATACAAAATGAATTCCAAGATAGCTCTGGTTATCTGGTTAAACAGTTTATCAGAAAAAGTCTTTCCTGTTGTCTGTATATTATTATTTCTCTATAAACCTATCACTCTTTAAAGATTATAATACTTTTAAATTTGTCAACAGATATCAAGAACAGCAGGGACATGAGGACCCATGTCTGTTATTCCCATCTTGTACTGTCCCTGCTACTCTGATGCAACTCAGTGCCCACAGAAAAGGACTGGTTTATAAAATCTGAGCAGCTGGACTGGGTTGTGAGTGCTCATGCAAAGCAGTCAGCAAATGAGGAAGCAAAACTGAATGGCAGCATGTGAGAGTGGCTGTTGCCAATCAACAGTCAGTAACATCAGAGCATGTAAGCACTCACTGGGAAGGAAGTCAACATAGAAGCTCAAGGTCTAACTCAGAGCTAAAAAAAATCCGCAAATGCCAAATGCTCTAATGATATATTTCAAATCACAATCAATGACAGGTTTGTATCAGTTTTCATATATGTTGGCAGAACTATGTGAGTATAACAATCCTTATGAAATAATAAATATGGTGAATGAAAACATCAAACAACAAAGGAAAAGGGGTGGTAAAGGAATTATAATGTAATAATTTAAAAAGGAGAGAAGGGAAAATGGAGAGTGATAAAAGAAAAGAAGGATTAAGTGAAGGATGGAGAGAAAGAGAAGTAGAGGGTAGGAAAAGACAAAGGGGAAATTTAAGAATGAGAAGTGAGGAGGAAAATAAGAGTGGATGAATAAAAGGGAAAGATAAAGAAGGAAAAACAGAAAGCAAAATTGGAAAAATTTTGACCAAGTTTTTACTAAACTGATGAAAATTGCAGAACATTGAAGCCCCTCATGTCCTAAGTCAATAGAAAGCACTGTGAACTCCTTAATTGCTTGCTGGGCATCCACCAAAGAAGTTAAGACAGGTCACAGTTCCATGGAAATACATGACACCTTCATTAAAATATTAATATTAAAATGACTTTTAATGTCAATGTAAATGTAAGAAATATATCCTTCCAAATATTAATGAACGAAAAGTGTGGTATGATAAGTAGACAATGGAAAGCAAGAGTGAAAAATCAAGAACTCCTTGGGAAGTCATGCAGTAATCCAACACAGAAGCCAAACACTGAAAAAAAATTCACTTTTTCAAGACTTTAATATCCTAAATCTGTGGGTCAATTATCTGATCTGATAGGCCATAAAATAGCCAATAGTAAAATATATGAAAGACCATCAACCAAAAATAAATTAAAAGAAGAGGAAGAGTTAAGTTGTTCTGGAAGTGCAGACCTCTGTTGCAGCATTGGACCCTGCTGTAGCCCGGATTCTGAACAGAAAGCATGTACACTTTGACTAGCCATGCCAACACATCATGCAACATTGCAGTTGAAGTGTTGGCTCAGGTTTCCAATGACTCTGTTATATTACGCATTGCAGTTTTTTAATAACAAAGTTTTCTTCTCTGACAAAAACAGTAATTTAATCCCCTACCAGTATGCATAATTGTGTACGTATCAACTTCATTTATCTAAGGGTTCTCTGGTATTAAATTATATATAAATTTACATGGTGGTGTTTGAGTTGCTAATTTGACTTACATAAAAATTGGCAACAATAAAATGCTGGGAAATTTTAGCAAAGAACATATCAGAAAAATCATTCACCATGGTCAACTGGCTTCATAACAGGGATGAAGGGATCATTCAATATATGAAAATCAATCAACTGTAATCCACAATATAAACAAGCTGAGAAATAAATATCACATGATCATTTCAATAGATGCTGAAAAAGCCTCTGACAAAATCCAACACCCCTTCATGATAAAAGTTTAGGAAGGAGGAAGGTAAGATCAATATAGTAAAAACGAAAATTTTGCCGAAAGCAAACTATACGTTCAATGCAATTCACATCAAAATCCCAGAACAATTCTTTATAGATCATGAAAGAACAATTCTCAACTTTATATGCAAAAATCAAAAGACCCAAGATAGCCAAAACAATAAATACAATAAAGGAACTTCTGGAGGCATCATCTTCCCTGACTTTAAGCTCTATTGTACAACCATATTCCTGAAAACAGCTTGGTAATTGCACAAATGTAGACAGGTAGAACAAAGGAATAAAACTGAACACCCTAATATTAATCCACACATGTATGAACACCTGATATTTGACAAAGAAGGTAAAATGATACAATAGAAAAAGAAAGCATCTTCAACAAATGGTGTTGGCATAACTGGAGGTTGACATGTAGAAGACTGCAGATAGAACCATGTCTATCGCCATACACAAAACTTAATTCCAAATAAATCAAAGACCTCAACATAAACCAAGCCACACTGAAACTCTTAGAAAAGAAATTTGGAGATATGCTTGAACATATTAGTACACTTCCTGAACATAATGTCAGTAACACAGACACTGAGATTGACAATTAATAAATGGGACCTCGTGAAACTGAGAAACATTTGTAAGGTAAAGGACACAGTCAACAAGACAAAATGACAGCCCACAGACTGGGAAAAGATATTCGCTAATCCCACATCTGACAGAGGGCTGATATCCAATATGTACAAAAAATTCAAGAAGCAGGTCTCCAAAACACCAAAAGATCCAATTAAAAAGTAGGATGCATTACTATTTAGAGAATTCTCAATAGGGGAGTCTAAAACATCTGAGAGAAACCTAAGAAAATGCTCAACATCCATAGCCATTAGGGAAATGCAAATTAAAACAATTCTGAGATACAATCTTACTCCTGTCAGAATGGCTAAAATCAAAACACCAATGACAGTTTATGCTGGAAAGGATGTAAAGAAAGGGAAACACTCTTGCACTGCTGGTGGGAGTGCCAACTCTTACAGCCACTTTGGAAATCAATATGGAAATTCGTCGGGAAAATGGGAATCAGTCTACCACAATATCTAGCATTTCCACTCTCTGACATACACCCAAAAGATGCACATTTATACAAGAAGGACATCTGTTCCCCTATGTTCACAGCAGTATTATTTGTAAAAGCCAGAACCTAGAATTAGCCTAGATGCTTCTCAATTGAAGAGACAGAAAAAATGCGGTACATTTACACAATGGAGTTCTACTCAGTGGAAAAAAAACAATAGAATCATGAATTTTGAAGGCAAAAGAATTGCATTAGAAGAAACCATCCTGATGGAGGTAACCAGTCACATAAAGAGAAACATGATATGTACTCACTCATGTATGGAATTTAGACATGGATCAGGGGTGTGCTGCCTGCAATCCAACTGACAGACAGTCTGGGAAACAGGGAGGATATTAAGAGATATATGCATGGCACCCCAAAAACAAGAATGAGACAAGATCTCCTGAGTGGATTACGAGCATGGTGGAGAGGAGAGAGGGAACAGAGAAAAAGAGAGGGGAGAAAGGAGGACATGGGGGATCAGAAAATTTGAGGTGGGGGAAGAATAGAGAAGAGCAGGATGAAAGATACTTTAATAGAGGGAGTCATTATAGGTTTGAGAAGATTTCTGGCACTAGTTTGATTTCCACGGATCTACAAGGATGACACCAACTGGCAAACTAAGCAATATTGGTGAGACTACCTTAAAAGCCCTTTCATGATAATGAGTTTAATGACTGCCTTCCTAGAGCCTTCATCCAGTGGTTGACGGAAGCAGAGAAGCACACCTAAAGCTAAACACTGAACTGAACTCCTGGAACCCAGTTGCAGAGAGGGAGGAGTGATGAGTAAAAGGGGGCAAGACAGGGCTGGTGAAAGTCATAGAGACAGATGACCTGAACTAGTGGGAGCTACTGGACCACAGACTGTTGGCTGAGAGGCCAGTAAAGGACTTATCCAGACCCTCTAAATTTGGGTGTCAGTGAGGAGACCTCGTTAACCTAAGGGACTTGGGTATTAGATCAGTATTTATCCCTGGCATACAAATGGACTTTGGGAGCTCATTCCACATCAAAGGATGCTCTCTCATTCTGGAAACATGGGAGAGAGCCTAGACCCTTCTCCAAATAAAATGACAGATTCTGGATATCCCATGGAGGGCCTCAACCTTCCTGGGGAAAGGAGTGGGGATTAATTGGGGGCAATGTTGGGGCTTGGGGGAATTCGGTGGTCTGGGGAGGAGAGTAGGGAGAGGGAGCTGGGATTGACTTGTGAAGCAAGCTTGTTTCTAATTTAAAAAAAAAAGAAAAACTGACTAAATGGATTATATTTTCATTAGGAAATAATTTCCAAAAATTCTTGAAATGCCACTCAGTGTACTTCTGCCATTTTCTCCAGTGTATTCATGTGAAGTGATAAAAAGTCAAAGCATGTAACAACTCTGAAATATGTTGAAGTTGTGTTACATACTATGAAATCAGATATTCAGGCAAGATCAATTTCTTTCATTAAAATAAGCAAGCACACCCATGTCACTAAAATTTCCTTTCATCATTAGTAAATAACAAAACTACAACATAACAAAATGGTTTTAAATCAAATTTACTCATAATTTGTTATCAGTTAATGTTTGTCTTGGATACCTACTTCACAATCTTATATGCCCGACATTGTACTTCATACACCATGCACTTTAGAAATAAGTCTCAGAGACTCCTGTCCTGGATATGACTTGAATGCCTTTACCATGTGGTAAATATTTAATGACACCCAGAATGTACCATGCAAATGCCCAAAGGATAGAAGCAAACAACAGTCCTAGCAAGCTATGGCACCTATGAATGCCAAAGTCCAGCAAGTAGTCAAGACTGGTATGTATACCTAGATTGAAACCAACAGATATCTACTTGAACTTAAAGACCTACTCAGCAAGAGGGAAATCATGCCTGGCCTCATCAACTACTCAGATGTAGAGAAGATATGAATCTTAAAGAAGAATCTAATTACCTTACATAACTAAATGAGCACAATCCTCAACTGAACTGTAAGCAATTTAACCTCATAACACAGATACCTGCACTCCTCATCTTGCAGAAAGTAAAGTACTCTGAAACATATGGAAACCTTTATAGAAAGCCACAACCACTTGCAATAGAGTTGCTGAGCCCAGTCATAATGGATATATTTATAAAACACACCCACACCTAATTCTTAGAGAACATTGTGAAAAGAAGGGGAAAAGGTTGTAGGAGATAGATTCAAGGCCTTTACTTTATGTTTCTTAGTAATGTCAGAAACTAGACCCTTGAAGTCTCACCAGCATAGTTTTATAAATTTTAATTCACAATGTCAGGGAAAGACTTCTAATACATATACATTATTAGGCATTTTATGTATGAAAAATTATCTCAAGAACACAATTACGTCATACCCAAGCAACTTGTCAATAGATTAATTATGTGAGCAAGCAAGCTGTTATTATCAGTTCTTTTAATGGCAGACTGAATTGTGCAGTGCAAAGAAAAGGCCAATTACTTTATAATTTATCTTGAAAAGTAATCCAATAAAAATACTTAAAGGAATCACAAACCTAAACTTTTATATATGAAAAATAATTAGTCAGATGACAAAGACATTTCTACCAAGCTTGATGGCAAACCTGAGCATGAACCCCAGAAACAAAACAACAAAGATACATACTAGTTCAAGTATTCTATGACCTCCAAGAATATGATATATCAAATGTGCACATGCATACACACAGATTCAGATAATTATCTAAAACAAAATAAAAGTTACAAGAACATATGGAACGGAAAACAAAACCACAAGAATTGGGCACCAGTATAAGCAAGTAAGAAAACTCTCCAGGATCTAGAAAATGCAAAAAAACACTCTTTCCTAGAGTTTCCAAACCAAAATACAGTTTGCCATTATTATCACTTCAGATGAAAGAGTCTTATGTTAAACATCAGAAATCCAAAATTATAAAAAGATAAATCCCTCATATTCAAACAACAGAGTTTGTGGCAATGTGTTACAGAAGGAAGAGAAGGATAATCCTGTGTTCTCCTTTACACTTTTATACAAATGTATTTCATAACAAAAATTATAAAACAAATTTAATCCATTGTTTCTCTGGGCTGTGCAAACATTTTCATTGGTATTTGATGAGTATTTGGGCTCTAAGGTAAAAGGGGAAGGGTGCAGGTTCCGAGCTGTGTGGTACTGGCAGCAGGTGAGACTCTTAGAGGAGGTTTTTTTTTTGGAGGCTGAAGCACTGTGGGAGGAGTATCATAATGTTGCTGACAGAAATAATCTCCCATGTCTTCAGGCTGGACACTGCTGATGGTGAGAGTGAAATCTGTCCCAGACCCACTGCCTATGAAGCGATCAGGGACCCCAGTGTGCCGAGTGGATGCCCAGTAGATCAGCAATTTAGGAGACTGCCCTGCTTTCTGCTGGTACCAGGCCAAGTAGTTACTGCTACCAATTGAAAGACTCTGACTGGACTTGCAGCTGATTGTGACCTTCTCTCCTGATGACACAGCCAAGGAGGATGGAGACTGGGTCATCACAATATCTGCATGGGCACCTGCAATCAAGAATAGCAATAATCATGTTTAACAAAGAAACCCCACAAATTTAATGTAGATGACATTTGTCATTTAATGCCCTTGTAGTGCCATATTGTCAGAGTATTATTCCATAAAAATATTATACTGTGGCACAAATTATGAATTACTTTTATACAAAGAAGTGACTCTGAAAATATCTTAATACTTTGAAATTTCTCACCAGACAACCAGAGCAGCAAGGACATGAGCACCTGGGTCTGTGACTCCATCTTGCTCCCCCTGTTGGAAGCTGCTCAATTCTCACTATCAAGACCTGCCTTATAAACTCCAAGCAGTGGGACTGGGTTGGAGAGGCCCATGCAAAGCAGTCAACAAATGCAAAAGCAGATTCATGGGTAGCTGTGTGAAACTGTCTTATGTAAATCAGCAGGCAAATATTCAATCACAGACAGAATAACACTAAAACATACTGGCTTACTATGTTCTCTAATAGAAGCTCTTGTTAAATATAAGACATATTTAAATTAGGTTACATTTGCAGAAATAGTAAGAGAACTATCTCAGATTGACAGTCCTGGAAAAAAATTATTTGCTCAAAAATAATACAATCTCAACATACAGTAATAAAACATGCAATAAAATAAAGTAAATGTGCAATGAAGAAAAGAAGAATGCCACAAAAAATGAGAGAATTCTGGACCAAAAATGCAGCAGAGATGCAAAGAAAAGCTAGTAGTCACTCTGTGGAGATTCCTGGGGCATTAATTTAAACATAAGATCACAGGAATTTTAATCTTGAAGCAAAGGTAAACCCAACAAAACTACAACACATCCTCCCTACAATTTCAGGAACTGGATAGAAGGCTCTAAATGAGGGAATGAAAGAAACAAGGTTTCTTCAAGAAGTCATGGACTTAGAGCAACACTGTCAAAACTGTTTTGTTCAGAAAAACAGTAATCTAGAAATGAGCAGTATTGAAACTGGTTTAAGACAGTCTTGCTCACATAATGAACAGTAAAAGAATTTCCCAGAAGGGGGCACAACTATCCTACTTCAAGTAATAGATTTCTAGAGACAAATGAACTTCAACATCAGAGACTGTTGCAATACAAAGGGAAAAATGATTGAGTATAAATGAAAATCAAAAGCACTAACACAAATCACAGAAACTGCCTGAACTCCTGGTTATTGGTTTTGAAAGTATATACAAGAAATAAATTATGAACCGTATTTTACGTGTAAAACATAAGAAAGAGAAAATAAAGGAATAAATAAAATACTATGGCAAGGAATCAACACTCATGCCTCTGATCACAGAACTGTGTCAATAGAAGCAGGAACATCATGTGTTTGATGCAAGCCTAGAGTACATAGCAAGTTCTTGGCCATTCAAATCTTGGCATGGCGACAATCTCTCAAAAATGTGCATCACTAATTAATTGGTTACAAATCTGCTCACGGTATTTTATATAAGAAGTTATTTATCTGTTAACATGCTAACAAGTTAGCATTAAGCCAAGAATATTATTGAAAATTAAATACGCAATTAAGCAATATGCAATTCCCTCCTACTTTCAAAAAGTATGTAATGTTATACATCTACTTTTCAGGTATAAAATTTTCAATTTTTCTGATAAGCATATTTAAATCTCCTCTTTCAACTCTAAACACAGCATCATGAGAGAAAGCTGGTGTATAGAGTGAGAATGGTCCCAATCTCACTGACAAGAATATGACAGATGGGTAACTGCCACAGTCTGTGTCTAACAAGCTGTCATGTGCTTTCCATCTTTGCTAATCATTTTACTTTGCTTTATGACAGCTGCAGTGAGCTCATATTTTGCTTTCATGACCTTTACTGCTGCTAATTCAGATTGAACACATGGAGAATGGGCTCTTACAAATCCAAAAGCCACCACACTTAATCATGTACTTCTCACAGTATGTAAAGAGAAAGAGTGGGGACTAAAACTAAAAAAAATCCAAGCTACATTATGTGTAATGTAAAAAGTCATACAGTACTAGGATACTTATCAAGAGTCCACAGTGTGTCCTGATGCATTAGATTCTGTGCAATGTAATTAAAGATAGACTCTAAATCTGGTGGCTGAAAACAATACTGTTTGATTTGCCCGAGCTATGGTGTTAGAGAGTCTGAAGTTGATGATCATGAGCTCATGGGATACAGCACCCTCTTCTATGGACAACACTGTAGATGGAGACCCTGGGAATGTTGGTCTTATATTCATTCTAACATGAGAAAATACATAGCTGAACTCAAAATTTCTGTTCCATTGCATAGAAACATTTACTTTTCAATGAGAGTCTGTTGCTAAACAATATCCAAGACAAGGAACAGTAGACAACGGAAGACTTTCATAAACACAGATAACACATTTTAGCATATTATTCTTTGTTAAAAGAGCAACATGGTAACTGAGGATTTGGGAGTGAATCACTGCATTCAAATACATACAAGTTTGACAAACATGAAGTAAATCTGCCCTACTCAAGGCGCCCAGAGTCATGCATGCAGTTTCTCTGCGGAGGACATGTGCAGATTCTCTGAATCTGGGTGAGAGGATGAGGTTGAGGAAGCAGCCTGTCATAGCTGAGAGCTCTTTGCCACCCATTCAAAAATGCACTTAAGATAAACACATTGGCGACCTATCAGGTACAACACCCATGGATGGCACACTGGTCAAGATATATAGATGATGAGAGCATCTTCTTTTTTGATTTTGTATTTTTTTATGGGTTGGATGCATATATGTGCAGGACACATGTCTGGTGCCTATAAGAGACAGTAGAGGGAATCAGATTCCCTGGAAATAGATTTAAGGATTATCGTGAGTCACCATGTGAGTATTGGTAATTGAACATAGATCCTCTAGAAGAGCATACTCCCAGCCTCACAAATGCCTTTTAAGTAAATACACATGATGAAGAATGAGGAAAATCCCTGAAAGAATAAATACCGGTGGACTTCTGAAAGCTATGGCTCAGCAAGAGGAGGACAGTGGAAAAAGTTGAATGTTTAAATGGCTTCTAAAGTCTTCTTGTGCTTTGTAAATACTGTTGTTCTTTCAACCTGAGAAGCAAAGCAAATTGTTTACATATGAAAATAACTACATTTGAAACCAGGATTTTTATACTTAATCTTGCTCTTCTCCATATTTCAGAGACCAGAGTGACCTTGATGATGCAGAATACAGGTTGCCTCTCCTTCAGGACAGCATCTAACTCCATTTATGTAAGAACCATATCAGTAAAGACATAACACCGGGGCTCTAAGGGATCTGTCCTTGTCATTCTTTGTTGCTGTGGTAGAACACCTAAAAAAGCAAGTTGAGGAATCTTTGTCTCTCACTTGGGAACATAGATCACTTGGGAACACAGTTCAAGCATCCAACTATTATAATGTGGAAGACAAACTGAAAGGAGCTTGCAGCGGCTGCTCACATCACAACCACAAATAAGATGCAGAGTGAAGGATGCTAGTGTTCAGCTCTCTTTTTCCATTTTGTGCAGGTAAAGTTACTCTATGCAGAGTTACTCTATATCAATTCACTAAATGAAGATAATCCCTCATAGACATTACATGTATATGCATTATATATATGCATATATGTAATCTTACTAGTATGCATACATATACATATACATGTGCCTTTTCCTGTGTTACATAATATATATATATCACTAGTAAGTCTGGTACCCTTACCAATAGACCACCAGGTTGCAACATTCCACACATTTATTTAGGCTCATTTACTTTTAATTAATTATACTCAACAAATATATCGTAGTTTTCAAAACACATTTCCCCTCAATCCTACAGAAAATAGATGACTGTCCATTAAAGGATTTCTCCCAGTCATATATTTCATAATATACTGATAAAAATGGCTACTTCAAAGGAACCCTGCAGTCATGAAGAGAGAAAGCCTCCAAAAAACAAAAACAAAAACAAAAACAAAAACAGGGACTGCTGCTTACCCACATTGGGGTCTCCTGGCCTGGGGAATGTGGGCAGGTTGACTGACCCCCAGAGGACCAAGAAATCCAGAGTATGTTGACAGCCCTGTGCTAGCCCCTGCCCCTCTGGGAGAGAAGTGGGCATGGGCAACTATCTCAGGCCTGAGTGCTACTTGCCCTCTTTGAGATCTCCTTACATGGGGACTATGGAAAGATTGACTTGTCACTGGAGGACCATACAATCCATACTCTAATGATATCACTGTGCTACTCCTTCCCAAATTCAGGGGAGATGTAAGCCTGAACCCCTGACTCAGGCCAACTTTTGCTTGCCCTTGTTTGGGATCACTTTGCCTGGTGAGTGCAGGTTGGTTGACTCATCATAGGCAGATCAACCCAGCCAGACTATGCTGACATCATGGTGCTAGTCCCACCTTCACCCACCAGGAGAGGGAGTATATTAGAAGTGCTTACACCAATCTTGAGACCCATCAGAGTACTGAACCTACTTTCACCTACTGGAAGAGAACCTTGGGCTCCTACACAACAAGAGACAGGAGACCTCTCTTGCACAAATTGGAAGAAGGAATTTGAAGACAACAATAAAAGAACACATTCAAAAGCATATATGACACAACCAGAGTCTAGAGACTGAACATCCCAACACAAATGTAGCAGAAAAACAACACCATGAAGATGATAAAGACCCTAAATGAAGAAATGATAAAATCTGTTAAAGAAATGTAAGAAAAAAACAAACAAAAAAAAGAAATGGGGGAAAAGAAAAAACAAAAATTTCTAAAAGAAATTCAAACAGTACAAGGGTTGAAAGCTGAAATAGAGACAAAAAAAAACAACCATAGTCAGAGGGAATGTTAGAATTAGAAAAACTCAGTAAACAAAGAGCAATTACAGATTCAAGCAAAACCAAAAGAATACAAGTGAAGGAGATGAGAATCTCAGGCTGTGGAGGTACTCTGGGAGAAATACATTCATTGACCAAAGAAAATCTTAAGTCCAACAAATGCCAACACAAAATATACAGGAATTATGGGACAACATAAAGGCCAAAACTAAGAATGGTAATTTAGGAAAAAGGAGGTGAAGAAGCCCAATGCAAAGGTGCAGAAAAAAATCAATAAAAACATAGAAGAAATCTTTTCCAACCTAAAGAAAGGCATGCTGATGATAGTAAGAGAAGCTTACACAACACCAAATAGAGCAGAACAAAACAAAAAGTCCCCACATGACATATAATCAACAAACCACAAATACAGAATAAAGACATAATGTGAAGATCAATCAAAGGACATTAATATCCCTCAATAT